ACGCATATTGCGACGACCCCGATGTGTATGTGTGTGTGTATGTGTGTGTTTGTGTGTGTTTGTGTGTGTGTGTGTGTGCCCGTCCGCATATTTCGTTCAACTTGGCATCCAAGCAAGCTCCGGCGCCGAAATTTTGCGAGTTGGTTTTCGGGCCAAGTGCCATCCCAGGATTTTTGGCGGGAAAATAGCTAACTTCGGACTCAGAGAAGCTGGGGAGCTGACTGTTCCTTGTCCAAATACAGTGTAGACAATTAAATTCCCCAAATTCGGGGACCAGTATTTCACACATTTCTAGCTACTGAGTTTCCGAGCGATCTCATTACAGCACGAAACACTGCAAAAACGCACGATCGTACGAGTCCGCCCGGTGCGCGTCACCAATGGTTTTTGTGTGTTTTTACCGAGCAGCGCTAGCAAGAGGCAGCAAAACCACACATTACAACGACCTTGTCAGTGTGTGCGTTTATGTTTGTATGTGTGTGTATGTATGTATGTGTGTGTTCGCCTGTCACCAACCACGCAAGCTTTGAAGCTGAAATTTTGCCAGTATGCTCCACAGCCAAGTGCCACCCCAGGACCGCGGGATCAATCCTCACGCATGACTGGGCCCCACGTTCAATCTTGGCGGGAAAATTGCTAACTCAGGAACGGAAAAAGCTAGAAAGCTGAAACCTTAGGGGAATGTTCGCTGCCCATGTATGACAAAAAGATTTCAAATCCTTCTGCCCAGGACTACTCGGAACTCACGTACGAGCACTTGGAAGTTTTGGCGAGAAAATCGCTTACCCGGGGACGAGAAGAGCTGGAAAGCTGAAACTTTGGGGTAATGTTCCCTACTTATGTACGACCAAAATCAGTTGTTTAGGAGAGCCCAAGACCCACGCACGGGACACGTGAAAGTTTTGGTAGGAAAACCAATAACCTAGAAACAAGAAAATCTAGAAAGCTGAAACTTTAGAAGACTCTCTCCCATTCATATACGATCAAAAGATTCCAAATTCAGCTCCTTAAAACCATCCGGTACTCATGCACGGACACATGAAAATTTTGATGGAAAAACTGCTAATTCGCGAACGAAAGGTTTCAATTTTAAAGGAGTGTATCCTATTTATGTGCAACTAAAAAATTTCACATTTATCTCTTCTAGTGCGGCCTTTCTATTTTTTTTTTCCATTTGTCGGGTCACTGAAGTCGACATCTACAACTGACATACCACATAGCTGCACAGTTAACTTCCGAAGTTCGAAGGCCATTATACACAGGGATAGCTCCTGTGATTCCTTGCGATCTTGCTACGGCACGAAAAGTGCAAAAACGCATGATCGCACCGGCTCGCCTGGTGCGTTCTAGCTGGCTTATGACTATACTGGTGTGAGGCATACCTTCAATATGAGATTTCCTTGGAAACGCATTTTCGTAACACAGCAGTATAATTGTCAGGGAAAATATGATGGAACCATTTGATACAGGAGGTCTGCGTACGTGAACTGGGTAGGACTGGGGAGAGAGGGGGAAGGGGAAGGGAAGAGGGCAAGTGACTGAGGCCAAATTAAAAGCATTTTTGTTTTTCAGTGAAGCTGCACTATGGAATACTGATAGGCATATTTTAGTTCTTTAGTCATATCAGCTTTTGTGATTTATATTTTTTCCTACTTTTCTACGTTCAAACGCATGACATGCATGCATAAAAGGTATATTGTGTCCTGTTTGGTAAAGAATAAATGAAATGAAATGAAACAAAACATGTTAGGAGATCAAATTACTAAGATAATGAAAACAGCAAATTGCCTTCTGCTTGCACGCTACTTGCAAGGACTTCAGCGTTGTATTATTCTTAGGTAGGTATCAGTAAGCTCAGACCGGAGCTTGCTTATATAAGCTAAGCGCAAAGTTGAAGATGAAAATTCAGCATATTCTGTTCTTCAGTAAAAGGCGTTTGACTGCAAGTCACTGCAATGAGTTTAACGCGCGAATGCAATACCCACAGCAGCATGGAACCAATTTACTGCATCTCGCCTGCAGTTGCTGGTGACAGTGAAGAGATATGAGATGCTCAATAGGAATGTGTATGACTTCAAGAATCGAAACATTCCTGTTTAATCGTTTCATTAAATTTGATGCTATTTTCCTTAATTTTTCTAAAGCATATCTTTAAAGCATTTGCAGACAGCTCTTCATTATTACGTCAAGCACAGGGAACAACAAGCGCTATCACTACTTGAAAAATTACATGTTGAAGAATGGGAGAACACTGCAGAGCCTGTATCCAAAAAAGTAGAACCATCAGGATCAAGGGATAGTGCGTGGCATTGGGCCATATCCGAGAATACACACATACAGAGGAAAGTAACATTCGTTCGTGTCTTACGAGGATTATTTTCTGCTCAGCAGACGGCCCCTAGATGTTATCTTAACACAACTTGATCCGGAAGCACACAGTATTTCCAGTACTCCCACAGATGTTGTCACTTTCACCGACACAGTCATGCCTCCCAATGCTCCAGACTCTCATTCACTCATAATATCCTTTACGTATGATATTCTGTCTTGTTTCATAATATTCTAGGAATGCTTCAGGCTACTGCTCATTCATAATATCCTAAATGTATAATGTAATAGTCAACTTAGTTTCATAACATCCTATCGTTTTATAATATTTTTCCCACAGAATTCTTACCAAGACACCAATTAAGTGCCAATGGCAACAGATTAGATAATATCAGGAACCAAAGGGCAACTTCAAACAAGCTGAGGGGAAACTCGCTCTGT